TGGTCTAGTGCTGGTGGCTGCATACATCAACGAGCCAATAGCGCGTTGATAGGGGACTGTCATATACCATATTCCCGGGTACAGATCCGATCCAGATCCGATGGACATATCCGTCGTCCGGTCCACAGATTCGATCTAATCCTTATTTCATGTCCTGTTCATATAACTCTAACTATCGTTCATCTCCTTTTGGCATTCCTGTACACTGGTATACCGGTTATCCTTTACTTCCGCTACACTTACTGATCCGCTTTAGCTTAGACTTCATTCCCGGTTATGATTCGTTATCCATCCGACTTACCGATATGCTGTACACATACTTTGCTTATACTTCGTACATAGCCTCGTGTCCTTGCTTATTGATCATTCCGTTAGTTATCCATAGTATATAAACCCTTGTACATGTGCTGTAGTAGATCAGTTCGAATATCATCTTAGATTGCACTCATTCTGTCTGGACTCTAAGTCCATCCGTTATCTGTCCGGACTTGAGTACAATACTCTTGTCTACTCCAAGACTTAGGATTGATTCCTATAGTCTATATATCTGTCTCTGTCTTCAGACAGTCCTCGCCCGTTAGTTTCTAGTTCAGATCCGATCCGGATTAGCCGTTACTATATACGTTCGATATCCGGAAGCCATAACGGATCCGTTACGAGACTTATCTGTCTCAATATAGTACGCGATACTCTAGTACTCCGAAATAAAGGGCAAGACTCAGGAAAGGGGCACAGCGCATGAGCTGAGGCCGAAGCCCTTCGGATCCGATACTTCTTGAGTACAGTCTTAACAGGGACATTCTGCATTGCTTCTGTTTGGGCATGAGTAGCGGGGCATTGGGCGTCTGATAGTACGGCGCCTGCCTCCATGGGAGTCTGGGCAGTTTTGGCGTCAGTGAGGTGAAAATGTTCTAGGATGGTGTCAACATAGGCGTGTTGAGAAAGGGTTATGGTGCGCACAGTACGGTCGCGCTGAACCTTCAGTCCCAGTAGCCAGGTGAGCTCCCCTAAGTCAGATATGTCAAAATACTGGCTCAATTCCTCCTTGAACGCCTCGATATGACGTAGGTACCTCGAGGTGACTGCCATGTCGTCCACCGAGACCATAATAATGGTGTGCTCCTCCCGGGATCGTTTAAAGTAGACTGCTTGGTCCACCTGCGAACGAGCGAATCCCATCTTGCGAAATACCCCGGCCAGCTCTTCCGACCACTCAAATCCTGCCTGCTTCAACCCAGGTAAGCTCCTCAACAACTTCAGTACCTTCCTCTCTTCACCCTTCTTCAAATATCCCGGCGGCGCCCTCATATAGATCTCCTCCTTGATTTCCGCATAAAGGTATGTGCTCTTGATGTCCACTTGATGGACCTCCCAGTCTTGCTGGGTGGCTTTTGCCAGTACAGTCCTGATGGTAGACATATTGGAGGTGGGGGCAAAGGTTTCAAAGAAGTCGAGTCCATATTGTTGACGCTGACCGTTCGCGACAAGTCTAGCCCTCAACTTGGACTTTTGGCCATCTGGCCCACGCTTCATGGCAAGGACAAAGTGGCATGGTATAATGTTAGTGCGCGACGGTGAGTCTACGACTTGCCAAGTTCCCAACTTCTCGAGCTGACTAAGCTCATAGTCTATTGCTTCCTGCCATTCTATGGCGTCTGGACCATTCAGGACCTGGCTCAATGTTGGCTCTGCCTGAGCCGCAGCTAGTGCTTGCTCTTGCCACATGGTAAGCACTTGCTCATCTGCATAATCTGACTCTGCAGGTTCGAAAATGGTGTCGGCGGCCAAGGTCACTTTCTCCCCCTTGTTCAGGGTGGCATAGTAGCCGAGCGGATGTCGTTGGTGTGGTGGTAATGGTGGACTCTCTGGGTGTTCAGGAGGTTGTATTGGAATGGAGGGAGGCTGTGGTGGTGGTGAGGTGACCTGGACGTTAGGTGCGCTGACCTTGTTAGCAGGCATATTCACTGACTCCCCCTTGTCCTGGGCGACCTCTCCTATCGGCACGGCCATTGGAGCAAACGTGACGTTCCGCTCCACGGATATGCGTCGCTTCGATGGCCAATAGACCCGGTAAGCCTTACTCTCCCCATCTATCCCCACAAAAAGCGCCTCCTCAGCCTTTGACTCCAATTTCCCAGCGTCCTGCAGGTGCACATAGCATACTGCGCCGAATTCCCTCGCTCTGGACAGGTCAGGCTTGCTCCCATGGACCAAGTCGTATGGCGTATGGCCCGGGATCGCTCTAGACGGTAAGTGATTCTTCAGCCAAGTGGCATAGTTATTGCTTCGGCCCATAGGAACTTCGGTAAGTCGCGTGCCAATAACATGACGCGTTGTCCTCTTACTTAAGGGTCTTATGTACGCCGCTTATATAGTGATAACACAACTATATAGGATAAGACTTATTGCCAGTCCTTAAGTACACAGTCTACGACTTTTCTAGTTTTCGTGGTAGATAACGTGTGAGTTCTTGGGAGGATTTATTTCAATATACCTTCTTTCCTTGTTCCTTGGTTAGTTTAAAACAATTTGATTCTGTATACTGAGTCTACGGTATGATTTGTGTCTGAGAGTTAGCGTGCCCATGTAGCGTGTAGCGTGAAATGTGTAGCGTGAATCATGTCTCCCTTCCTGTAAAAGAGAGAGGAAAATAGTATGGGTTTAAACTTAGTTAGAATAGCTGATAGATTATATAATCAACCCCTGTAAGGTAGTATATAATTGAATAACTGTTTCTTAGTCTTACTTTGAGGCTAATGAATTGCCTGTACTTAGGTTCTTACTTAATCTCACACTGTTTGAGATGAGTGAAGGTGGGAAGTGCTCCATTTATTACATGGCAAAATTGGGCTCCTTATATACCTTTTGGAGGCCCTGATTACAAAGCATGAATCATCACATGGATTGGTAAGAATGTGCTTACTAACAATGCCATTTGGTGTGTTGAGTCAGCTTGTTTACTAATTTACATTATAAATACAGTGTAGTTTACAAAGCATGACGAATCATGGCATGAGTCATCACATGGATTGGTAAGGATGTGCTTACTAACAATGCCATTTGGTGTGCTGAATCAGCCTTCTTACTAAGTAGCTTATAAATACAGTTAGAAATCTTACAAAGCATGACCAATCATGACAAAACATGATGAGTCAAGCTCAATCTTTACAAATCATGATATCTACCAGTCACATGACATGCTTACAAACATGCTTGGTGGCTGAAAAGAAAGTCTGTTGGCTGAATATGCCTGAGGAAAATAGAAAGAGATGGAATGTCATAGAACAAAATAGAAATACATGGAAAAATGGAAGTGAAGATTGAAAGTGAAAATACTAGCTAATAACTAAGGGGAAAATGATGGGGTAACTTGGTGATAGGATACAGTAGGGTCTATTATACCTTCCTTATCACATCTCTTGTGTATCTGTCATGGTATGAGTTGCATACCATGCATGACAGTGTGCATGGGAGACTAGGGTACGATTCAGTCGTTCGGCCACGCCATTCTGTTGAGGTGAATCATGGACTGTGAGTTGCCTCTTGATGCCTTGGTCCTGCAGGTACTGATCAAACTCTGCAGACAGATACTCCCCTTCCCGGTCTGACCAAACTTTTCGAAGTCGTACACCAGGATTCTGTCGAGCAAGGTGCACCTTGTATTGTTTGAAGGCAGTCAACGCCTCACTCTTCAGCTTAAGGAACTGCACCTTGGTTTCCCGACTATAGTCGTCGGTAAAACTTATATAGTAGGAGCATCCTCCCAAGCTAGCGACCTGGGATGGTCCCCACAGGTCTGTGTGGACGAGTTCTGCATAGGTGAGTGCTCTATTCTTGCTCTCCTCGGGAAATGGCTGACGCGTTGCTTTTGCCTTAGTGCAGGCTTCACAGAATTCAGGGCTCGAGGAGGAATCGAGTTGGAGGCCTTCGACGAGACCATTATCGACCAGGTGCTTTACGCTAGCCTAGGATATATGTCCGAGGACCCGGTGAAGTTGACTGATGGAGAGTTTGCTCTTGGCAAGGTTCGCCCTCTCTCTTCTTTGGCTGACCACGGTGTATAGGCCCTCCACCTGGGGTATCTCTGCAATAACCTTGCGTTTTGGACCCGGCGATAGGACTCTGCACATCTTCCCCTCGAAATGGACCGCTAGGCCAGCCGCAGTGATTCGATTCGTCGAAATGAGGGTGAAGGCCATTTTGGGGGCATAAAGGGCGCTTTTCAGAGTAACTGATGTGCGCTTGTCCCCCAAAGGTAACTCTATCTGGACGTCCCCTCGGCCTGTGGCGCTAACGGCAGATCCATCGGCCGTATGAACACTCTGGGGTGGAATGGAGACAAAGTTGGTGAATTTGGAGCAGTTGGGACAAAAATGAGAGGTAGCGCCGGAGTCCATAATGGCTCCACGGCGCTCTGCAGGTATGTTCAGATCTTCTGCTACGCCTGCTAAGTCCGAGCTGACGAAAGCATACTCATCTGCAGTTTCAGTCTGCTTAGCGGCATTTGCAGCCTGCTTTCCAGAATGGTTGCCTCTCCCCCTTTGCTTCGGTCCCTGACCTTCCTTCCCGCCACCTGGTCTCCAACAGTCCGTTTTATAATGACCTTTTCGCTCACAGTTAAAACAGGTGATATCCTGGTTGACTTGGCTCGAGGTGTTGGAACCTCAGGGCTTCAAGGAGCCTCCTTTAGCCGTTAGAGCGGTGTTGGAACCCTTCTTCGAGGTGCGTTTGTCTGTGAGCAATCTATGCTCGTATTCCTCGCTGATCACGTTAACGAGTTCATAGCAGCTAAGAGCCTTTTGGGTGATCTTTGCTGCCGCATTGATTGATGAGAGGATGGGACGATAGGATTCGGGGAGTGAGCCAAGTATTATGGTGTAGAAGTCCTTCTCGTCGATGGATGCCCCCATTCCGGCTAACGATTCGCAGAGCCTTAGCATCTTGCTGAAATATGCCCGTACGTCTCCGTTCTCCTCGCATCTCGTTTCCTGCAGTTGACGCCGTAGGTCAATCTGCACAAGCTCTGTTTTGCCTTCGTGAATCTGACAGATCTCTGCCCAGACTTCATGCGCAGCTTCGAGCTTCTGTACCCGCAGCAGGAGACGATCCGTTATGGTGCTGAACACCTGCTGCTTGACGAGTGAGTTCTTTTGGTAATACTCGTCTATTTTCTTATCGAGCTCGTCGATGTCCGTCTGAGTAGGTACGGTTCCATCTGGCTTCACCATAGCCTTAGTCTTCGGATTGACGGGAAACATTATAGGCTTTGTGGCTCATCCATCGGTATATCACATCAAACCTCTCGCACCGATGGCTGTTAACGTTCATTCCTTATAGGTAATCCAATTAGTGCCGTCTTCGGCAAGTTTGGGAACGTTGAACAACGAGGAGGTGGTGCTGGGGAGCATAGTATCCATGGGCAAGGCAGGGCTCATAACCTCAAGTGAATCGAGGCGATCGAAGAGCAGGTGAGCTAGGAAACAAGTATAATCTCAGTCTCTGGAAAGAACTGATTGATCGAACCATGTACCTAGGAAACAAGTATACTACGGCTCGTCAGCGTATTGTAAGGTGTGCTCAAAACGGGGCACTTACATCTCAGTCTCTGGAAAGAACTGAGATGCTACTAGGGAGTCCCGGTACTCTATATAGTGGATGGACTCGGGATAAAAATTGTAAGTGTCAAATAACTGATATTGGTGAGCGCGAGCCGACGTCATACGTCGCTCGCTCATTACTCTTTTGGGCTGCGCTCGCACTCTTCTAGCTCCTCATCCTCCCTATCTCGGATCCGTCGGTCATCGACTCGTCGGATCGTTCGGCGTCCAACATTTGCTCACGGTCAATTGTATACAGCATTATTGAGAGTGAGAACGCGAAGAGATACATTGTGTCTATTTGCAGAAGCGAACGAAAGACAAGACTGTGCTAATATTGTATTTCCTGACTTGCTACTGTAATGATCATATGTTATATAACTCAATTGATATCGCTCTCATCTCATGACCGTGAACACAGTGTATTCGTACAAAAGCCGACCGAAGGCGAGTCCTTGTCAATATTAAAACCGAGGTCTGCTTACCACGCAGGCAACAAACCCGCGTCTGGAAATCTCATCGTTTCACAGTCGGTTTTGCATGTCAAAACTGAACCTTTCTGTATCTGCATTGGTGTACTTTGCCTCGATTTGCATTCTATGTTTTGTATGTATTTACAGGCTGTATTCGTACTCTATGCGGATCCGTTTATTTTCTCGTTTCCGCAGTGACTCGGGTACATCTAGTAGCGAAATTTTCAAATTTTAGGTCATAACTCCACACAACCACTTAACATAGATTAATAACAATGGGATGACTTATCATCCATACCCTAAAGTTCACATTGTGTGAAATCAAGATACAGGTGCCTGATTTTTCAGATGCTACAAAATCCTCCCTACTTCGTAGAGTCGGGGAATGTTGTTATGGTATGTCACTGAGTAATATAATCTGCTGATTGAAGTGGAACCACTTTCTCCTTGATCAACATAACCGCCTGGTTGGACACTGGAGAAAATGTAGCAGAGAATGGTTCAGGGAAGCTGTACAATCACCATTAGCATCAACGAAGGCAATCGGAGGAATCTCAGGCCACACCTAACCAAGCCGGCTGAGAAATTTGGCTTTGGCGGAATGCCATGACCCAACGCAACTTTTGGACTCGAGATTTCGACCGTAGCAGATATGTACGAAACTAAAAGAAAAAGGTTGTTGTCGCCCAAAGATTTGCCAGGGCATTCCCTAACAACACTCAGCAGACAGACAGCTTGGCGAACTTTAACCATACCGTCTTCCGAAACCAAACGCGTACAGGTAGGGATCAGTTGCTGTTTCCTTTACGCAATTCTGCAAGAATCGTTCAGGCGCAAATATTTCACTAGGAATGCCACTTTTGTCGTCTTTCGATATGGCCCTGTGACCAGCGGTAGTGAGGAACAAAGTATTTCTTCAATTCCATTGTTTCAGATGCTTACCAGACATTTGGTAACACAATTGCACCCTTTGGAATATAATATCCTGCAGCAAAATTTAACAAAAATACCTTCCGGTGAATTCCGGATGTACAAATGTTTCCTCACCTCGATAATGATGTTCTTGTGCCGTCCATGCGCGCGATACCGAGAGGGAGGGCTGGACTCCATCGCATCGCCTCTTTCACAGTAGCACTGACATATGGTAGACGGTCACGATCTTGAAGGGATGGCAGCTGATGAAGCCCAACAATGTCTGATAATTCACGCCTGATTTTGATTTGAACCTCAGGGTACAGCGTCATAGCCAGGATAAACGTCAGGATAGTCGCATACGTCTATGCAGGAACGGTAAGCCGGGTGATGTATCGATACTATGCAGACCTACGCTCTCTCCTCCAGCTGAATGAACAATGAGCGAAATCCGAGAAGTAGATCCACAGGAGCACACATACCGCCATATAATGCACCACCTGCCCAGCGAATAAGATCTAGTGAAACCTTGGATTCTGCATTGTCGTTTGACCGGTTTTTCTCGAGACAGTCGGATACAAAAGACGGTTGGGCGGAACCTTTGGCCCTTTCCTGAAGCACATGCTCAAACGGTCGCGAAATCAGTTGTTCAATTCGTTGACGCCCAAATGACCCTGTTGAGTGAATATTATTGAATGGGATCCAAGATGGAAGGTATTTCACTAGCGCGAGGCAGTAAGTCTATCGTTGTTGTTCTCCCGGAATTGGTTTTTCGCTCACATAGAGGAATAAGATCAACCAAAAAAGCCCCAGGGACTGTTGCCTTTCCTATCATCTCCATAGTCTCTTCCGCATCAGTGATGTACTACAAACAGCTGAGTTGCTATTAGGTTATTAGTGCGCAAAAGCGACTGACAAGATCATCTGGCGTTTGTACCGGCAATCCGTATGAAACAGTCATGATTATTCGGCCCGCGGTTCTCAAATCCCCGTTTCGTCAGTGAGAAAGTACCATATGCAATGCAAAATCTTACAGACGCAGCTGTGATGCGAAGTCCATGGGATGCTCAAGTAAACTGTCAACATACATGGCAATGATGTCTTCCTGGACCCTGTGGTATTTCTTCACTGCATCTGGGCTCAATGCCATACGGGATAATTTTCTGTGTGCTCTCCATGTCGTCCCATATTGTAGCATTGGCATACTCTGTCGCAGTGAAACCTCAGCACGAATTCGCTGAGTGCAGTCTTTTTGTCATACCTTATCCAAACCCATCAGCTCGCCAACCATCGTGAAGGTTGGGCGATCTGAATACACAGTAGGCTCCTTGACCAACAAATCCGTCACAGATTCAATCGTGTTCAGGATAAGGATGGAATTGCCTAGTGCCTCAGCATACACCACGTCCCCTGTACAAGGTTAGTCTTTCCGATCTTACCCAGCTGAAAAGAACAGACCATATTGATCCTTCCACTGGAGAAATTTGTGCCATGCACGGAAGCGAGGGATGTCGAGCAAGTTGCCAACTAAGAACCTGCGCGGTGGCCCAGGGGGTAAAGGACTTTGATTAAACGAGCCCTTCAGTCTAGCTCGAAAAGGCCATAGTACTAGTAAGAAAGCGCAAACGGCGAGTAGGGCGACAGAAGTTGGGAGCATAGAAATCATGACCTTGGTGGAACGGACCAGCTCTGAAAGGATAATTGAACGCTAACGCACCGCTGCAAAGTACACGACTTGAGAAATGTAACACAGCATGACAGAGCTCCATAAGATACTCAATCAAACTTTGTTTTCCGATGCTGATGCGCTGATGCTTCATCAAAATTGGCGAAGTCCACTCTGAAAATAAACCTTGCCTCATCACTAGACAATAGGATCCGGTGTAATAACTACAACCGTTATCAACGATACAGCATAATTATGATGTAATGTCCAATGTCCATTATGCCCAGGCCTAATGCAGTTAAATGCACCAAGAGCGCCATGATCCCACGTCCAAAAAGCATGCATGAAACGCGTTCGTTAGACCCGCTGATCGTTTCTTTGTTGAAAATGAACTCGTGAGCGAAAAGCTAGTGCTCGGGCTCTGGTCACGAGACTAAGAAATATAACATACCTCAACGAGACCAGTACTATACAACAGGATACCCGGGCCCGCACTCAGCGAGTCGAGCACTCCACTCACGATAGAGGCGGTGGTACTGCCGGGGCCCTGGGTTGTACGTGCTTTGAACGCCAAGCCTGACTGAATGCCTAATTATGGTGCGTACAGCAGCGTGCTACAGATGCGACTACACCCTGCCAAACGCCGCACTGTAGGCGTCCGTACACTCGAACCAGCGGTTGTAAAGGAGCTCGCCTGATCTCCATCACAGTGGCGACCGCCGATCAGCAAAATCACATTCCTTTTCTATATTTGCGCCACTTAATCGTAGTTGGGCTGTGCTCTTCCCTCCGGCCTGTCAAAGATTTATCAATAGTAATGTCAAGATTTCTAAATTCCGTACATGCATTGATTGACATGATCAAGTTCACGAGTCTACACCTGATATGATCACTGCACCTACATAGGCAGTGCTCTTTAACACACCGGTAACTGCGGAAAGATGTTTTCGGGCCTATAGTATAGGACAACTTACTGTGATATAAATTTACCAGCCAGGTAGAATACTTCCAGCAAAGACTCCATCATGTCTGACTCCCCAGCACCTTGTGTTCCAATCGCCACTAATCTGGACACTAGTTTTGGACCACTGCTCGGGAGCATATGGCTTGCCTTTATGTTTTACGGTGCAAATTGTTTGCAGATGTAGGTTTCTTTCATGCTCATGCATACGAAAACTCACAGTGGCGCATGTTTTACTCCAGCTTTGTATATTTCATCAAGTGTGTCCACGTTTTAAAAGACTTATTGCTAACATCATCTCATTGATATCATAAAACGATTCGTCCAGTTATCCAAAGGACAGGATGGCACTTAAAGTTATTGTAAGGGGCACAATAGACCTTCGTTAACACTGGCTTACATGGAATCGTGCAGGTCATCGTCATCTGGCTTTTCGACACTGCACACCAGATCTTGGGCTCCATCGGAAGTGAGCACTCATTGCAATCAAATTGTACATCGGTTGACAAGTCGCGCAGTATGGCAGTATTTAGTCTCGAATTATGGGAATTATGTTTTTCTTTCAGGGACTCATCCGTATGCAAGATTTTTCATCGGTGAGGTATGTGCTAACATTGTAATAGGCCTCTGCTCATCGCACTTGTTTTTTCGGTATGTACAAATCTGGTTACCTGTTATCTCTTGTTCAGTAAAGAAATTTCGCAGAGCATGGTATCTACAATTGCCCAGCTATTCTTCACGTACAGAATCTGGCACCGTAAGTAATCTTGCATTAGTTCCACTCTTGATTCACATGGCTTGGGCTTATAGTGAGCGGTGGACATTGGGCTTTTCCTGCTTTTTTGATCCCAGCGGCCCTTTCCCAACTAGGCGAGTTGAAGTAGCAAACACGATGGAGCAACTTGATCTAATGTCATCATGCTATCTGTCTTACAGTGCTATGCTGCCGTATGTATATTTAATTCGCTATACATATACATGCTGATTGGGCTTTCAAATAAAGTTTATGCCGCCAAGGGACTGGCAAACAACACTGTCCAAAATCTTTATGATCTCACTGTGAGACTAATGGTTTGATTTTTGTCTGCAAACTAATGTTCATGCAAATGTTTATAGAAATACTCTACCGCTGCGAATGCATTAGCAGCTGGCACAGACACGATCATTGCAATTATTATGTGCACGCTGCTTGCACGAGGGAAAGCAGGCTTCAACAAGAAGTTGGCTGTCTTTTCTGCGTCCTGGAAGGTTCTCATATTTCCATTACTAGGACGGATGCAATATTGGCACGGCTCATCATCTTGTCTGTCAACTGCGGCCTTTGGACTGGTGCGTTTGCATTAGCAGTTTCAATCATGGTGAGACAATATTTTTCCAAGGAGAATGGAATATTGACAGCGAGTAGAATACAGCTATGCCAGACAATTTGGTTTACACCTGGCCGCAGTTTTCTCTGTCTCCGCTGTATTGCAACACCGTTCTTGGCTGCTTGAATGCTCGAGGCTTCATCCGTGATGGCATGCAGGCAAACCAAAGATTTCACCTGGGTTCTACTTCTGGTCGCAAGCTTCAGCATCCAGTACGTTCCGATCAAGATCATGCTGTTTTTACATCTCATGACGATAATTGCAGCTCAACGTTGCGGTAGAAACCAGACGAACCGTCGAGAACGAGAGCGTAGACAGTCAGGTTCGTTGTTGCAACGCATACCGTATACTCTGACTTTAAGTATGCACCCCAGACTCTGCAAGTGTCGTCCAAAGACAAACAAACTAATCACTCAACAGAAGTCTCACTACGTCCACTTGATGAACGCTATTGCTGAGACACATACATGTAATATGAGGCATTACGGAGGCACCAGACGTGGTTTCCAAAAGGCTATATTTATTAGACAAGTACCGAGTATTGTACCAAACCATTAATACATACTTGGAGAGGACAATTTACATTTTTTGTTCAAATTAAACTCGCTAATATCTAGTCAACCAACCTGAGAACACGAACGTACAGTAGCCACTCACCGAAAGCGAGCTCGAAAATCCATCCGAGGAAACCTAAAAATGTATACAGATTAGAGGCCCCCGGCTGCCGCTCCCTACTATAATGTTCGGTCGTCAGGACTTCCAAAATGGCCCTCAAAGTAAATGCATTCTACTGCTTCTCCGCGTCAGGAGATAACTTGCACGCTCCGCCACGGTCACCTATAAGCGCTTTCTTTCTGAGGTCGAAAATTAGATCGCTTATTGAGACGTGAGTGTGAGGGTTGAACGTTGAATGCCCACTGCCGACTTGTGAAATGCGGCGCCACCTTTGGGATATCGTCGTCACAATCTGGCCGTCAGAATTCTTTTTCGTCGAATCCTAAGTCGAAGGCTTTGATTTTTAGTACAAAGATTGAGTCACTAGTATATATGTTTAATACTCATGGTTTGCATTGGAAGATAGACGTGGCACCTGTACCTGTAGTGTTGAGGCTTAAAAGTATCGGATTAAACACAAGCCTTGAAGCATCAAGTCAGAGACTGCCCCACCCTTGGCACCAGTTGGAAAAGGTGCCGAAGGCCTTTCAGGGTGGGTTTCGTTGTAGGTAGGAACTTGCCTGAAAGCCCACCTCCACAGGGGGGCCTCCCCTTAGATCCTGTTCAGGACCACGGTGTGTTTCAGAGAACCTCCAGCAAGAAGGAGCGAGGAGTTCATGACTCGGAGGGATGCATTCCATGTCTCTCGTTCGAAATGACAGGTATCAATTGTACTGTAAGTACAGTCGTTTGCATAAGTAGTAAAATAAGCAGTGTCACTCATGAAGTGGGTAATACTTACCTTGCATACATTATCTTTCCAATTTCACTGGCTTCGGTCTACCGTCGGGTACATTTGAAGCGTGGACTTAGAATAAGTACAGATGTTAGGCTGGTCATTACCATTCGATTTAAGCTTGGCACAGTGGTCCTTGAGGCAATAGAGACTCGAGAAGTCCCTCGCTTGGATCCCCGACTCCCCGCTAAGAATTTTGCTCATGAGCGGCTGCTTTCCTCTGCTTGTCAAAAGTCGGTGAAACGCACAGGTCAAGAGAGAAACATCGAATTCATTCAAATCAGTAATGATCATATCGCCAGCGCCAGTGTCCATCGAATTAAACGCAAAATATTTCATTTTGCGTTGGCAAATGACTGATCGATATGGACTCCATTAAGTCCGATCGAGCCGTGTGGCTTATTGCCTATACAGTTTATTTAATTCTTTCCCACGTCCCATCACTGCCTGTACTCAAGATATTGGTAGTCCATCTAGTACTCCCCCTCGTCAAGACCTCCTCAATATGGTGGGTGCTATCAACCCGAAGCATATTTTTATGCTAACCATGACCCGCATCACAGACCAAACGCACACGCAAAGTTGGTGTCACCGGAAAATACGGCACTGTGCGTATCATATTCTATCTTGTTGCAGGAGGACAGTTGTCTCAGATATCTTCATTGTAGCGTTATGGTGCTTCCCTGCGTAAGCAGGTGAAAAAGGTACGTTGTTTGCTCTAGGATCATGCTATTTGTTTACCTGTGATGTTGTTCAGATGGAAATCACGCAACACGCCCGGTACACCTGCACTTTCTGCGGCAAGGTTAGTGAAAGATCCAATGTGCGTATGTGCGCAGCCATTCTCATTTCGTCACAGGACTCCGTGAAGCGTACCGCCGTTGGTATTTGGCATTGCAGCTCTTGCAAAAAGACGATCGCTGGCGGTGCATGGACAGTATCGACGACTGCGGCTGCTACTGTACGGAGGTGAGTCATCCCCATCCGCATTATTGGGCATCAAGTCTGACTATCTGTCTAGCACCGTTCGTCGTCTGCGGGAGTTGACTGAGGCATAGATAAAATGTCATGGGTTCTTTTGCCATGCTTTTCTTCGCTTTGTTCCATATATCTCGACCCAATGACTATGAGCCTCATGATGCACGCTGTATATTTCCATCAACACGTGTGAACGCTTTACCTTAGATTATTTCCGAGGATTGTTGATTATGGACGATTCATCAATCTTGCAAAGAAAACCGAGTCTGCACGGATTGCTATTGAGAATCAAGAAATTGTATACATGTGCTGAAGTGATATATACATCCAAAGGAGATAATAATGAAATTAGGGCAGTAAACCGTCGTCTGAACCATCTACTTCGTCGGTGGGGCTTAAGCCCTCTTCCTCGTCACCGTTATCCTCTTCGTCATCATCATCGCTTTCTTCCTCACTTTCATTGAACGTAAGAGAAATATACTCATCCCCGAGCCGGGCATCCTCGACCGCGACATGCTGTGAACTCAAAACATTGTCAGAACTAGTATCAGAACCAGGCATGACAGTGGAAGAAGTAATAGCAGCAATATCCGAAGTCAATGAGGCTGTTGGCGCTGGAGGCTTGCGGTTGCGGTTGGCACGAATGACGTGCGGAAGCTTGCATCCCTTTGTCGAGCAGCTTCCTTTCTCAGCAAAGTCTGGGCACTCTCTGACATGTTGCATCTCGCAGTCGAGGCCCTTGGCGCAGTAACCAAGTACTGCGAAGTCACGACACACGCCGCGTTGCTGTCCCACACGGACGTGCGGGAAGTGACAATTTTCTCGAGTGCATCGTCCGTTGTTGGCAAAATGCACACAGAGAGGCGTCCGTTCAGGGGTCGGGTCATGTGAGAGGTTACAGGTTTCAGCCGAGCTGGAGCAGTTGCCATGCAAAAAGTTCCAGCAGATGGCGATCTTGTTAGGGTCATGCTGGTACATGCAAGTAAGACCACGGCTACAGGTACCTGTTGCAGCACGAGCGTCAGGCGAATATAAATTTAGCAAAGGTACTGTGAAAAAAAGGCTGACCACGCACCTGTAGTTGTGAAGCGGGAACAGGGTTTGTCCAGGTATTTCATGCGCTTATTTCTGCGTCTAGTATATATCATCAGATTGAATCTGTAGCAGAGACTTGATCGATGGACGGACTGTTGGGAACCTCGAGTGTTATCTAGAGTCATGTTCCGGTTTCTTGGGCGGCGCTGACGAATCCGCGATGGAGCCTTGGGCTTGTACGCACGGCCAGCCGGGATCAAATGTCCTTTTGTTGTTCTGGAGAAATCTACTTGCTGGGGAATTGACCGAAGTGGAGCCTTGGGTGGAGCAGATGGAGGCTTTGGCACTGTAATCAAACAGCACGCGGTTACAAAAAATGAAACTACCCCGTAGCAAAATACTGATAAGGAAACAAACTCACAATCTTTACGCACGAGAGATCTGGTTGACGATTCGAAAGTCACGCCATCGATAACAACATCATGGGTAGACGAGGCCTGAGGTGGATGAGGTGGTCTTGTGGACGGGCGGATGAACTTCGATGCCGGTTTCTGATATTCGGAGGGTCTATAAGATGCTGGCGGTTTATACTTTGGATTAGAATATGCATTGCTCCTTGGGGCTGAGAAGGATCCGACGGATTGCTGAGTCGATTTATGTTGATTGATTGCACCTGCATGGCTTGTTAGAAATAATATCCCAATGAAAAAGCAAGATCACCTGTTAGTCGGACAATTTCTTCCTTGAGCGCCGCGTCCGATGTCGAGGCCATGATATGATGAGTGTCGAAGAAGAAGAGTAGTTGTTGGTCAGCTCCAAATGATGATTAACTAAACTTGGAGCGTGACAAACATAGGTACATAATAACTGTAGTACTATTATACTAACAATGAACATGATTAGTAGTACATGCTCTGTAGCTTGAACTGATCCTCTACAAAGGTACGATGGCTCGATACAAAAGACCTCATAAACAGCAACCTTCTTGCAAGGCACCACTGCCACGGACGAAGCCTTTGTTCTTCTTTGGCCTGTTCGCTGCGACTTTGTGGTTCTGGATGCCGAAGCATTTTAAATCAGATGTGTCAGACAAAGTCAACGACATTCTGCGCACGCCAATGAATTTGTCTACACCGCCCATCGAAAACCATTCTCTGACAGCTATACTGCCAATTCTTTCACACTCTTTTGAAGGTCTCGAAGTTTTGTTGGCCCCGTTTCTCGTTCCTTCCGACACCATTCGAGAAGTCATTTTGATCTGCCCACAAATAATCCTTTCAGATGCGCGACGGGTACTCAAGAAGATCCTGTCATACAGTGACACCGTTGACCACCCTAATCTCTCACTGCTACCTTACACAAGCTCTTCGATCTACAACACTACACTTACAAGTGCTGTGTTTCGAGTTAGAACAGAATGGGTGCTTGTTCTCGACAACCATGGCTTGCAAGGCCTCAGCAGTGGACAGCAAGCTTATTTACTCAGTCCACTGTCCATTTCCCTACCGGTCGGGCCTAATGGCTTCCTCCGATTTTCTGCCAATTCCACTCGTATACTTGCGACTAGCGATCTGGAGCCTGCCGAATATCTTATCCCTCCTTTCGTGGCACCGACTCACCTATTCCCTCGCACTTTTTCGCATCTCGCCGATTCTGATCCTTGGCTTGCTTTTGGCGTGCACGTTGCGAAGACTCATCTCGAGATGATAGGAGGATTGGTTCTTCCATCTGACATCAGCAACCTCAATTGTTGCGAACAAAGTTCTCGCCTTCCATCCCTCGAAATGACTCAGATAGAGCACAACTCGACAGGGATTATATCAGCGGACAATGACGATCGCACGCGAAAATCAACTTCGGGTCATTTCGTTCTGGTTGTTCCTCAATTAGAAGATCTCTATGCTTTCATGCCTGTTATCTGCAGACTCCAGTCCGTTGGTCATATCGTATCGGTCTTACTGTACCAGGCGTCATCGAGCGATACTATGCATTGTTCTTCTGAGGACTGTACTCTGCAGTGCTCGACGCTTTCTCACACCGCTCCGACCTTCCATGGTTGGCTAGATTCTCTGGACGCCTTGCCTGATGTTGTCCTCGCTTTGGATGTTCAAGATTTTTTTGTCCGTCACATTCACAATGGTTCTTTCACACGAGCCCTACCGTAAAACCACGTTAATTAGATTGCCTCGAGCTGACATACCTCACTCCGATTGGATCGGTTCGCTCACCCTTCTTGAACTTCGCAGTTAGTAACGAGTGTCATTCTCAGCGTTATTATCTAACCAAGAGCAGATTGGAACGTACCCGAAATCACCATTAGCGTCATAACTGATCATAGACCTCACTCTTTGCAACGGTTGCTGACGTCCTTGAACCCGTGCTCGGTACTTTGGAGAAAGAATCGGACTGCGTATCAATCTGGAACAAACTGCCGACCTCGAAACCTTGAGAGTCGTACAAGATTTCGAATGGCCTCATGGGGATGTCTTTGTCCACCACAGGGTCATACATGGCGGTCTCCTCCCTGCTGTCGTCGAGTCATGGTACCCAAATTCCAATGATTCTTACGGCTTGCTTCTCGAGGATGACATCGAGGTGTCTCCCTTGTTCTTTGCGTGGATCAAGATGACTATCTTGCGATACCGGTAAGTTGTCCACGAATTTCAGTGAACTTTCCATGACCAACAAATTTCTTGGAGGTATGGTGGACCCGAAAACATCTCGCCGTCCGTGTTTGGTATCAGTCTTTACCAGCAAAAAATGGTCGAGCTCAGACCAGAAGGCCGGAGATCTTTCGACGCTAGGGCGCTTTTCACCACTGATGGCATCCCGAATCCTAGCACCCCATACCTGTCCCAGATACCCTGCAGCTGGGGTGCGGTCTACTTCCCAGAACACTGGCGCGAGTTCCACGACTACCTCTCCATCCGCCTTTCCGAGCACTCCATGAAAATATACGAGAACGTCGTTCCCAACATCCGCTCCAACAAGTGGGTCAAGTCATGGAAGAAATATTTCATCGAGCTCGTCTATCTTCGTGGCTATGTCATGCTCTATCCAAACTACGCCAACTTCACATCACTGTCGATAAATCACCTCGAGATTGGCTCGCATGTCAAAGACCAGCCAGCGGAAGAGTACCTCCGCAAGAAAGCGTTGTTCATGCTTCCCTTGATGCCATTGACGAATGCCTCAGTGCCACTTTACCCCGGCCTGCTTGACTTACCAGAGCAGAAACTCCCTTCTTTATCTTCCTTGCCTGTTCTAGATTTCATGGGAAAGCTTTCTTCGGCATCAGGCCTGTTGGAACGAGGCACCAAGCGTCGGACGGAGCTTACTGGTTGCAGTGCTACCATCTCTTTGGCCTACGACGCTCGTGAGCTGATGTGTCTCCAAGAATTCACTTGAGTGTCGAGCATCTGGTAGTAGGCATTCAGGGCGGTGCCTCGCACAAGTTTTTGTCGTTGTCTGTCGGTCGGAAAATCTTTCTTACAATAACGATGGCTCCGTAGTCTCAAATTGACATTTCAACATACAGTAATAGTGGCAAAGACAAGAATTGATTCAATCTAAGGTAATTAAGTAAACGAGCAGCCCATTTTACTTGCATGAGTGACAAGCCATGAGTAATTTTGTCCTTCTAACGACGCGAGCAATGATAGTGATACATGATGATGTCCGAACCACAACCAGAATCACACCGATATCTGCGAACTATCCAGCCCAAGCGCGTGGAGGAAGAGATTGACGTTAGCCAGCTTCGTCTGTCGCGCCTCTTCATCTGGTACCCAGCCCTTGCTGACACTTGTCACAATATCCAGTACTTTTTCGCGGAGGCTGGTGACGAGAATAGATTGTTGGTCAGAAGAGGCGTGCAGTGCAAGCGCCGCGAGGAATTGCCAAACAGGCTGGTCAAGGATGTCCGTAGGAGGAAGGGGAGTCGCTACGGGGAGAGGTTGGGCAACAAGACGAGTCGAGGGAAACAAGAGCACGAAATGGGGCATCAAAAGTTGGAATAGATGATCAAACATGGTTTGCCTGCGAACGTTAGAGTAGATCATTTTAAATTTAGAAAATTGCATACCATTGCTGAGCTTCCGCAGGAGTCGGTATTTCTAAGGATTCATGCGCACTACTCATGCCCTGTTTGATTATCTCGACTCGACTCAAGAACAACGTTAACATGGCGATTCCAGGCTGAGTACGATGGATAAGTAACTCTGCGCATGATGAGACAAGACGCCCATACCCGAGTCTGAGCAGAGACAACAATGTTGGTGCGATCCAAGAGTAATCCAAGCAGCCCAGTGATGACCCTCAGCTCAGCCTTCGCAATCACAGGCAAAATACTCTGTAGAACACTTCCCAAAAAGGCTTGCGTCTGTCGCTCCACATCCTGACGTTCGGGAGTTTCCTCTAGTGAGTCGAGAAGAGGGGCGAGCTTGACGACGTCAAGCTGAGAGAAGCAAGCGACTAAAAGCGTAAGAAGCGTGAGCATCCTAGGTGGCGTAATGTGGCGGCTGAGCCGCGGCAGAATTTTTTTCCCTTTGACTGGGGTAAGTAGGGAGACAAATGGATGGGGGTCACTGAGAATATATGTCAACATAAACGAAACAGTTCCCAAGCATGCTGTAACCCACCTCGTTTCAAGAGGCAACATGACCTTCAAATTCATCCATATTTGCTCGACAAGATCATTGTATGTCGCTGACCTAGAAAATTGTTGGTGCCGTTCCGCAAAAAAAAAAGATTGACAAAATACCATGAGACAAAAGCTTCCTCGTCCTCCTCGTCCTCTTCTAGAGGCTGATCTCGCCTCAGTTGCTCGATATTCAGGACCAGATCATAAAGCCCTTCCAACACAACAAGTGTTTGCCGTTGGGTCAGTGGGTCCTTTCGCACCACGCCGTCACTCTAGATACAAAACGTAAATAGGTCACATTAGAATGAAGGCATTAACACGCACTCCAGCAGCTTGTCCAAGCGCCTCGCGACCGAGTTTCGCAGCCTCTTGCGCGGCACCGTTTCCATCCTCTTTGGATATGTGAGGATGAGTACCAGACATAGTGGGAGTTGCTGAAGAGGCATCGACCTGCAGAAGCTGTCGCGGTGCGGCCTTGTAGCTACGACCAGATGTTTTACCAAGAGCGCCCTGGAGGCTGTGCAAAGCTTTCGAAGCGCTGAATATCAGAAAAAGAGAAAGACCTCGTGCAAGACGTACAGTGCAATCCCTTTCCTTCTCCCTGAGTCGTGCGTTGTTGACGATCCGTTCGACCTGTGCTTCCATCTTTTGCATCGCACTCTGCCTTCTGCCACTGCCCTTTTGCGCCAATCCGAGACCGACGCCGCCACTGGAGCCAAATTTGATCACACGCTCATCTTGCGACTGGAGTCCCAATCGTGAACGAAGAATGGCACCATAAACCTGAGCGTAGAAGTCTTCGGCATAGGGATCCTGCGTAACGAGCTGCGAGACCTGAATACGAGTAATGAAATCCTTATCAGATTGTGTCATCAGATCATTGTAGCGAGACTGCAAATTGTCATGAGCATGAGGAAAGTAGACGGATTGCGGGCATCACCATGTGTGCGATCTTGGCAGCCTTGCGACGGCGCCTCTCTTCCATCCGCTCGGTTTCCATGATCTTACGCATGGCCTCAACCCGCAACGCTTCTTGCTCAGCCTGACTGATGCCCTGCATATCTCGCATGAACTCAACTTGTGCCATCTCTGACAAAAGTCTCTGTTGCAGTTGGATGCTCTGGGGCATATACTGAGGGCTTTGCTGATTGAACAGTGCGTACTGAGAATCGACAACAGGAGAATGCGTGCGACGTTGTGTGTCAGCGTAAGGAGACTGCCTGCGCGCGAGCAAATTCGGCTGCTGCTGCTGCAACTGTGATATTTGCTGCGCGCGAAGCTGCCGCTCGAGTTCTTCCATACGGAGGCGGTCTTGAAGCTCCTTCAATCGCTCCTGCTGTTGACGCTCCTGCTCTTGTTGGAGGAGGAGTATTTGCTGTTGGTGTTGATGCTGCTGATTGAAGCGAGGGGAAGGTGCAAGATGAGGAACCACTCGCGGAGTGGACATTCGGGCTTGCTGTTGCAAACGAAGTTGCTGTTCTTGCTCCAAACGAGCTCGCATGCGGTCTGCAAGCAAATGTTCCTGTTGAAGCCTCTGAAGGTCTTGCCGTTCGAGTTCTTGTACGCGGAACTCTTCTTGTCTGCGTGACTCTTCTTGTCTGCGAAGTTCTTCCTCTCTTTGCAACTCTTGTTGCAGCTGAACTTGCAGAAGCATCTCTTCTTGCTGCTTGCGCTTCTGCTGAGCAGCCCGCATTTCAGCCTCGATCTCCTGCAGAGTGCGAACACCCGTCTGGTTGATGCCGTGAGAGACGGGCTGTTGTTGACTGAGAGGCCGATGGTCCGCGTATGCATTGAGCGCTGGTGACCTCGAGGGCGGGAACGGAGACTTCATCAAATTGGAGGGCACACGCTGATGACCTGTAGCACGAGAAAGCATGGAGAACGGTGACTTGTCGTCCCATATTGACTCAAGGGATTTGGGAGCTGGAGAAAGCCCTGTGACGGAAAATGTTAAGAACCGAAACTGATTGAAGGTATCTAACCACATGCCTCGATCACGGGACTTCGACGCAGGTTCTGTTCGTTCAACCACAGGTGTCCGCTCTCTGAAAGGCTCTGCAGTAGGAGTGAACCTACCACGTGTAGCTCCAACGGGCGCAGGGAAAGTTTGACTCGTAAAATCGAAATCTTTGCCTGGTTGCAGACATTATTGTCACTCTTTTGCCCTTGCCAATGACGATTGCATCTCACCGACAGCACCTGACCCACCAAAGGTCTCGTCATTCAGTTCATCACCGCCCTCAAGGAGTGCATCTCCTAGCCCGTCATAGCTCTCTTCACCCCAGGTATAGACCGCAAGGTCCTCGGTTTCTTGGAGGCCTCCTTCCAAAAATTTTCTTCTTTTCTTGTTCTAAATTGCTTCTTTCGAACCCAAAGAAAGACATAAGAAAGAGAGGAGAGCTCTCAGCGAGCTGATGAGTCTGATTGCGAAAGTTGGAATCAAGACTTACAAGCCCATCTCCCCGCAACAAACATGACCATACACAGACCACCCTCCCGGTCACTAGTCAACGTAAATTTGTGTGCTTCTCTAACGCTTCTCAGATATGACGATGTAAAGTTTGATTGACACTTCTTTTCAACTACAAATATTTTCTACATTTGTCACAAACGTCTTCTCGTGGTCACTTACATGACTCCATTCTATGAACTTCTTCCAAAAAGTCTAACAACGTGCTGGCGCTCCAGGCTTGGGTATTACACGAGTCGGCACAATATTGACCATCCTTATTTGTCAGCTCAGGGATGCCAGCCCAAGGGTCAGTCTGGATATGATGCTTAGGGGTGAGCAGAATTTTGTGGAGATAGTGAAGGGTCTGAGTTGTATCCTGCCAGTGTCTGTTAGCTCGCAGAGATTGTGACTGTCCGTGAAAGTTTGTACTGACCTCTTTGCCTGCACCAAATCGTGTGTCGAAGTAGAGGTAAGCGCGGAGGAAATATCCAAGCGGCCAACCCCATTCAGGGCCCTTCAGAACAAGTTACGCCGCTTAAACACGTAACATGACAAAATTATCACACAAACTTACATTATGATAGTTCAGTCCCTTTGCAACACACCGGTCCGTAGTGTCATTAGAGTTGTCATATTGAGGCCGATATTGCATGTCACTTGCGTCCAAGGTTTTCATGCCAAGTGAACTTCGTAAAACCTGGTCGGCGAGACGGAGTGCTTGCAGAGCATGCTGAGCATGGAACAGTTCTGGCGCTACGGTCATAGCGATCGGGAAATTTGGTCTGAATTGGTAATCAGACCATTCTCGACCTGGGCCAGAACCATATACATCCTTGTAGATGCCCCTTCTATTGATGATAGCAGGATCCACATCATAGCGTGAGTCATCGCCGGCGTCTGTTTAAGAATAAGAATGACGTGTAAAAACGAAAACAACTATTGGTCTTACTCAGGGGAACATAGTAGCATCTTTCGAAGGACTGCTGTATGAGGTCACCCCAGGCCTTGTAGGTAACAAAAGTACTCTGCCCATTGACTTCGAAGGATCACGTCAGTGGATCGTATAGTGAGCCAGTAAAAGAAATCTCACTTGTCGCTTCAACACCTTTGAATGGGAAACTTCCAAAACTCGACAGCGTATCGAGCCATCGTAGCGGTACTCTTCAGCAAACCGGTGATCTCGACAGGCGCGCCGTCTCTCGGTGTTCCAGGAACCCCCTTTGTGCCTGCCTTCTCAGATTCTCCCATCTTATCCATCCAAGTCCCACAATTATGCTGGTTCCCCCCGAAAATAAACCCTGTTTCCCAGTCGACTCGAATGTTTATGTTGAATCCTTCATCCTTCATCTGCATGTCAAGGTTGGGGCCAGCGTTATACTCGCGGAATGCGATTCCACTTGCGTGGCGCTGAAGTATTTCTTGGATGATCTCCGCAAGAGTGCTCGTGTATGTGTACGCGCGCGGATCGTCCCATGCGACCCAGGTATCATCTACAGGGAATCTACGCTTCACCGGCTCCGACAAGATCGACAGACCATCAGGTTGCGCTGGCCACATAATCTTGAATATTTTGTACATCCACCATGGTGAATCCCTCGAATTGTACCTGAGAAGGCATCAAATAATGAAAATCATCTCGCACGACTGCGTGCTGATTCGTACCGTGGTTTCCTAAGGGAGGTCCAATAAATTGGGAATCAATCCGTGCTTCAAAGTCGACGCAAAAGCGAGGATATGTTTTTCTGGCGCCCTCGAATTGCCCGTGGTCAAAAACAACCCCCTTAAAGAGATGAAGACGTCGCGGGCCCCAACAACGTGCCCATCCTGTGCCGAAATGTGGCAGTCCTGCTGCCAGTGATGGAGTAGATTTGGCCGGATCAAGGGATGCGGACTGTACCCTTCCATGCATCTGAATGGCGCACATTGCGAGATTCTGTGTGAAATCATGCCCTGTATATACGAACTCAGAGCATTGTTCGATCGCTGCATGGCGAGCGGCTTTGTATGCAGTAGATATCAGGATGGCGAAGTACTTTGGACGCAAATAAGAAGGAACAGAGGCCTTGATGCGCTCTGTCCGCTCTTTGAACCACTGTGCAGGCCCTGCACAAGTTTCGGGAATTGAATTGTTTGCCTGGTGAGCAAATATGAACTACGTCAGAGGCAAATAAATGGATAACCACCCACTTTTGCAGCCTTGAATAGATATAGTCGAGTGCCCAAAGTCCTTGCCTGAAATTTTCGCAAAGTGGATGCCCAAGATCATTGGACTTCATGATGTGCCGAAGAGGATGCATCCATCCCTCCAACCCACAATAGTCAGCTTAGCGAAGCCTGGAACATCATAGGCACCAATCACGCCACTGGTCGCATCCCTTTCTTCACCGTCAGCGCGATATAATACAACGTTCAAATCAACAAGGTCCAGGTTGCCAAAGGCTTTGTCTGCATCCGAGGCACAGAAGGTGTCCAGCTCCTCGTCCAGATTCTGAACCTCGACTTCAAAAATGAGAATACTTCCGGGGCGGAAGTAGTCCGGAACTGTGTCCTGCAGAACGGCGCAACATCATGCGGTATCTGTGGGACGACAACATCGGGAATTTCAACCAGCTTCCCGGGAAGCCCTCGGATTGTGTTGGAATCACATGGCGTTTCGTATGATGAAAACTCGACAGAAGCGCCATATACGAATCGAGCTCTGGTACGAGACAACTCTATAGTGTTCACTATTAATCGGTCAGGGTGAGTCATGTAAATCGTACAATAGCACGCACCTATGCCACGGTCTTTTGAGCCCTTTGAGAACGCAGTATGGGCAATGAGTAGATAACCCTTCTGGGTGGTCGGATGCATCCGCTGAACGAGGATGTACTTGATAACTGTTAGCACCTGTACGAAAAAAGCCCAAATAATGTACTTACATCACCCTCTTGCCAGTAATTGGCCCTCCTCGAATCCACCAAGAACCATTTCCCGATGCAAACCATTCAGCAATCTCTTTGCCCTTGCAATGCCCGAATTTTCGCCAAGTTGGGTCAGCTCATATTGCCGCTTTTCTTCGACAAGATTCAATAGCTTCGGATACAGATCGTCAAAACCTTTCACTGAAGCAACCGCACAGTAACCAAATGTTACAATACCAGCAACGGACAGTGCATGCTCGGCAGAACGCTTGTCGAGATAAGACTCGTTGTCATGCGTGAGATCGTACATGAGTGCATGAGGCACGGAGCCATTCAAAGGGCTAACGATGCACGGACGCGTTGGACCTTTTCCGAAGGGAGGGTCAAGTTCTTCTATGTTTGTCAAGCCTGCGCTATCCATAGATCCTATAATGGGTACATCAACACTCACTACGCTCCATAATGACCTGTGCAACTCACCAAGCGGTTTTACAAGCCCCGAATCTATACATGACTCTTGAGAACTCCTTTGGATCCCAGGCGTTACCTGCTTCCCTAACAAGACTATTGATGCCCAACCTCTGCACAAATAGTAGATCCATCTCCTCGCTTCCCGTAAAGAGCTCAGCACAGACGTAAAGATCTGGATTGACGGTACGAGCCGCATCGAGCATTGCAACACCGACATGGGCCGGTGTTGAGTGACAATTATCGATACGGAAACCATCGAACGTGGCTGCAAGCATCCTTACGTAGGATGTCATATGTTCCCAAAGCCATGGATTATCAGCCGGCCCCGACCCGTATCGAAGCTTCACGCAATCGCTCCATACACTGACCTCGCGTCGGAGGTAAGCTTTTGACGGTGGGAGGGCAAAATTCTGAGCGGGTCCGCGTCCCATATCCAACCGTTATTTGCGATACTATATTTCTCCTGGTCAAACGAACCAGGCGGCGTCAAACGAGTGAAATATGGCTCCACAAGAGGACAGCTGCTCCCAATTTTACCACGTATAATTGAGATATATTTCCGATTGCTTACCTCGCTGAAATCTCACCAAGCTTTGGGCCATTCTCCTCCAGCCGGATATACTTGAGGCGATCCTTTACATGATCTAGGGCAATCTTCGCGTCCTTTTCCCACTCCTCGTAGAGGGGTACATTGATGACGTCAACCACGCGACCCCAAATTTCCACCAGGGTATCGTCATCGTTCACAATGTTTACGGACGCTGCTTTGAGGAGTCCTGCTGCCATCTCGCCGTCTGAGCGAGCGCCATAGCGCGAACCCAGTTCGTTGAGACCTGCAACAATGGATGAGGTCTTAACAATTTTCGGCCAGTGCAACAATAGATTTTCCAGCAACGTCGGGGCCGCTCCAAGGTACAAATTTCCCTCTCTTTATTGCACCTTTCACCACTTCTTTCTCCCGCTCAATATCTAGGACATAGTACTGCCACATGTTACGGGCCTTGATAGATTCGGCCAGGCTAGTCATGAGCACGTCAATGTCTGCCTCAGATCGAACCTGTGTAGGGAGGCCTTTTGATGCAACAGACGAAGAAAATTCCAGGATCGCGGTTATCGAGTTCGAAAGCAGGAGTTAGATTAGGGGTATTTGCGGGACTGTGGCCTGGAAAAGTGTTATTCTGCAACTTCCAGTACCTGATTCTGTTACTCACCAGCCTCTGGGTGATCGACAAGCCAGGGGCTGTCGCTAGCAGTGTGATTTAACACGACATCAGTCAAATTTAGTAGACCGTATTCCTCTTTCGCCACGCGTAAAATCTCCTTAACCCGAGCATCGATAGTACCTGGATCAACACTGCCCATAAAGATTGAGGGATCATAATGTTTCTGGTCCTTGATGGAGTATGGGCTGTCGCTTGAGCCCCGTTCCTGTAGCGGTGTCCAATGCAACATGGTATAACCACGATTACCTGCCTCAGTGAAATGTTCTCGCCAATTGGAAATTGGGCCCATCCATTTCGAAACAACGGTGAGTATGGCCAGGCCGTCCAGAGGTAAGTATACGATCTCCGGTGAAAGAATGGCGCCGCCCTGCGCGGGAGTCAGTGGCTTCAGGTCTGGCGAAAGAATTGTGGATCGCGCTTTGGTGCGCAAGATTGGATCTATATTAAAGTAACCTTCTCTCCCTTTAGCACGTTCTCCAGGAACTTCACCATCGTACTCGACCCAATACTTGAATGCTCCCGCATGAGAGATAGGCAAATCCACTTGAATAGGTTTCGAGAAGTTGCTAGGAAGCCTACAGAACGTCTAAAGTCAGCATGTCTTGAATACGTCCGTGAGACTCACTCGCGCTCGACAAACTTGTTCCGTCCGAATACGCCGCCATCCAAAGGGAAATTGGTCTTGAATACGCCATTCTTTGAAGCTGGTGTGCCTGCGTCAAGAGAGACGCGCAATATATATGGAGTATATGCTGGCGGAAGCCGGATATACTACGTGATTTTAACTTGATTGCGATGGCTTAGTGACACCAGTTGCACTCACAGATCGGTCTTTGTTGGGTCCACCATCGGGATCCAATTTCAACTCATAGACGCATATTGGTTGCTCATCTGCGCTCCGGGCACTGAGAAAAAACTCCTTTCCTTCATCTGCTGGTGTCTTTGGCGTGACTGCATCGTGATCGAGCGTTTGGAATGCGTGGGATGTGCTTGAATCTGTCTGTTTTAGCAGCGGAAGGGATGGGACTTGTTTCTGTGCCACTGTATCGACTTCCTCCGATGCCTTCGCCATAATACTGAGGGATCTGATAGGGAAATACAGGGAAATAAAAGGTGAAGCGTGGAGCGGAGCTTGATAGACCTTTTATGTTTTCATGGCAAGTGAAAAGTAATACAGATTAGTGACGTCAAGAACCTGGAATGGGATTCCTCCTGTTACATGACGAATTCACACGATATCGATCGATAACTTATTGTCTCCTATGTATAGTTTAGCGTTACAGCCGCGCCTCTGAAAGGCTGCCTCAGGTCGCTTCATGTCCCAGAGAATCATTCCGAAGTATCTTTATATCCCACGTACGTCTTCAGCAATCACCCAAACCATTCTATATGGCTCACGATGACAGTTTTTTCAGCTGTCCTTTCTTTACCCTATATGCATCGTAAGTATGTCCTCATGCATCAACTACCACATCGTCGACTTTACAGTGATTTGAATCATCCTTCTGGAAAGTAAAAGAACAATACCCCTTGGAAGCTTTTCCAATTCGGTCCGAATGGCTCCGGCCTGCATAGAATTACCGGCGAAGCGTAGGGCTGTGTGATAACGCGGTTTAAAAATACAAACAGCCTCGACTTGGGCCTGGATAATGACCCCGATAGGCTCCTGGACTGCAACCACCTGGTGCTCGATCGCCTGATCGTAGAGTCTCTACTTTGAAGTCCCCATATACGGATTCGCTTCAACTTGTCCCGACTAGGGTACCGCACGGGTAACACCGAGGGTCGGAAAGTTGACACCGCACCCGCACCCGCCAACACCGTACCCTTCACGGGTACGGGTACACACCGACCCGTCAATGTCGCGGGTTTATGGAAAACACCGCGGTGTCTCTGAACACCGCGGGTACATTACCAAGAAGAGTGTATTAAGTATTAACAACAATGAAATAAAATAGTACTACTTTTCCTTGTCATTCTCCTCTGCTTCGACTTCATTTCGCTTCCGTTTTTTGAGTCCTGACAGCGGCTAAAAGGTCCTCCATCACCAGAAGATCACTTCTGCCCCACGCTCCGAGGCAGAGAAAGGCACGAATTGTTGCTGCGTAGACAGAGCCACTATTAGCACCAGCATCCTTGCCCTTCATGGCGTTGTTGACGGCATCCTCGCCAAAGCATCCAATGGCATGGTGCTTCAGATTAGTCGTCGAGGACTTATCCTTTGTATCCTGATAGCGGCGCACACCACCTAAAGCTGTCTTACACTTACGCGCACCACACGGGAAAAAAATGACACAAGCGGCCATTGTAGTGTTGGACCACAACTTCGGATGAAAAGAAACTATAGATAGGTGACCGCCAAGTCTTCTTGAGAGCCTCTGTATCATTGTATAATCAGATATTTGCAAAAATCAATGGAAAGAAACATACCAAGATCTGCAGAAGGATCGGGATCAGGCTCGAATGCACCTGCCGTTGATTTGTTATCGTCAGTGGCAAGTGAATCAGTACTTGATCGCGTAAGATCAACGGTGTCTGTGGGGCTCGATCGAGAAGACCGAGACACAAACGACTGCTTGACCTTCTTCAAGGGGCAGGCCAGAGCCTTAGCACCCTTTGCAACAGCCTTTTTGAGTGACCTGGCCTTCTCGGAGATGGACGACGAGACAGACTTAGATGATGAGTGTGACTGGGTAGACGAAGCATCAGATGCCTTCTTTGTGAGCTTAGTTTTCATGGGGAGACGACTCAGTGGACTTACTGGTCTCGAGTTTTTGCCTTGGCTTTATGGTAGTGACTCGAGCTTCTCTGCAACGAAGTGTCAGCTCAATAAATTGCTAGAATGATTCACGGGGGTACAAAAGACATGACAGAAATCAGTATAGCATTCACTTGTGATCCTCAAGCTCTCAGAGGAAGGAAAAACAGAGAATCAAACACGGTGTTCAATGGCTGTCGCGCGCCTGGTTCCCGATTTGGTATATTATACCCGCCCAAACACCGTCCAACCCGCGGTGAATGGCCACGGTATGCTCAAGGGTACGACTATCCTACTCCGTACCCGTACCCTCCAAACCCGTCAGCATAGAACCGCGGTGTTACCCGTACCCGTGCGTTTCCCTAGTCCCGACGGATCTTCATTTTGAGGGTTGATGCGGCTGCCTCTGTAGTGATGCTGAGTTGAAAGTATTCGTGACCCCGCTCTAGTTCGTGCTTTGAGATTCTCTGTCGTTTCGATATTCTTGTTGAGCAGGAGTGTCGTCAAATTTTAGCATCTCAGCGATCACGGGAGGCATTCATTGGTGTGGGTTTCAAGCAGGGATTGGGGAAAGTGTCATTTCACCACGAGAACGAGATTCCATCGTAGATTGAACTATAAACACAAGGTTCCTCAAAGTGGGCACGGACCGATGTATGGAACATACAGAATCTTGGACACTGTAGTTGCCTCCCTGTAAAGGACCGACAGAACTCTCTTCAAAGCCACCTAAGAACATGGACGTACTTGTCCACCAGTGGGGCTATGAATGCTGCGAGATCAAAGGCCTGCTCAGCAAAATATGATCATGAAATTGAATTGCTTACTGCTAATGACTGCAAACGATATTACATATGATTAGCGAAATCCGTGGTACATCGTACGCGGTCCAATGGGTGAGGTTTGCAGTCCAAAGAGGTGGCGAAAAATGTATTCGTTGAGTATCTACTAAGAAGTGTCTGTTGCAACTTGTAGTCAGAACGAGCAGGAGTGACTACCAGATTATCGATTAGGCACGATAAGCAGGGGCGATGCGAGCACGGTTGCCATGAAATCGTGGCTGCCGACACTAGGACTGCAAAACCGCGAGCGGAGTTGGGACCGTGAGTGAAGGCATCATGCACGAATCTCACGCTGCGCATAAGTAGCCCATGATGGAGCCAGTTCGGACTTGGTTCGGAGTAGAAATTTGACGGTCCTAATGTGAGAAATTTGCAGTCCTTTTGAGTCCCGCTCGGCAACGCTCAACAGCACTCCGCACGGTGGCAAGACGTCGTCCAAAGCTCTCTGCAGCACGCTCGCACCGCCCAAAAAGCTCTGACAGCTCAACGAGACCACATTATCGACCGCTCTACCTACGGCCGACCGTCCCCAGAATTTTACATCTGCGTGCCCCACACTGGACTCTTCGACCAGCCTCGGCCTCCTCCGCTTTTGGGCAATGCCTAGGTAAGCCTGTGCTCGACCCTCAATTTCACCATGAACAGCTTATACTTCCGTTTCCAAACTTATTACATAGTAGTCATCCGAATATTTGTTCCACATGACTGCAAAGAACTGCAATCGTTCTCATACAAACTTGCTTTGAACAAGCGCTCGTATCTAAACTCGAACACCCAGTATACCTTCTCGAATGTCAGATCGTTTCTATCTATCACACTTCGCGCCCATTTGAAGAGAGCGTCAGGGTCAGTAGCAAGTTTTTTTGCGTCAGTATTAATTCCTCAGGCCTCAGCCACTTGCGAATAGAACAAATCCGTCCTCACCCAAGTCCTTCGTGACTCGGAGCCGCCGCTTTTGACCTTCACTGTCAGCAGTGCTAATAGACTACGGGCAGATAGTACTCACAGATCTGAGTCCATCACTCCCTGCATATGCCTATAATAACAAACTTAGTCAACAGGGTCAAAAAAGTCCCAAAGATCCTCTTACATCCTCATCCAACTCCCCCCTCCCCCCACCTTAAGGTTAGCAACCAGCATCCCTGATTCATCTCGCGCCTAAAAACAGGCTCTTTTGTACAACGCCCAAGGAACATACGTCAAGACATATCTCCGCCGATACCATGAGCAGTATAATCATCCCTCGCGCCATCCACTCTAATCAGCTAGTCGATATCGATCACTTCTTCGGGGTGGTCAGGATCAGAAACCTCCCCGACCCGAGATTCAACGTGCGTCGAGTACTGTTGGAAAGAACGGAGCTCGGTCCTGAGCTCCACAAAACAAGAGTATTTAGCAAGATGCTTCCGCAGATGTCCCTGCATGATATCTTGACCAAGCATACCGTAGTTCATCTGATAAACATTGAATCACAACTTCTTGTTCTTTCATTCAAGCCATCTTACATATGGTCGTGAGGGTGTTGCCTCACAGTACGGAAGCATTGGTGGGATCTGCAATGGTTCCCTTCCTCCAACATGATACGTTCAAAGTGGGAGGACTGACTACTTGTCCCTGTTAATCTCATTTACCCCAAGGAAACGGTACACTTCCTTGGCATGAGGCTGCAACTCATGAACGAGGGAAATTCAAACCAAAGCGCAAAACTGACGCACCGTGACCCCCGCGCCCCTCTGTCCTTGTCTATACTCCACATTTATTCAATGATTCTCACCGGTATACCATCCCGAAGGAGGGGCAGAGCAGCAGTAAGACCAGAAAGACTAGCCCCAACCTAAAGATAGGGGATTAGTGAGGAGTGTGTCAGTTTCGCGAGCAAACTCACGAGACCGGAGGGAAGCTCTCCATGCTGAAAATTAACGACTTTTGATATATATGACGGATTCTCCACTGTCCGATGTCACAGCATCTATGTAGACTTAGCAATCGGTAGGCCCGTTTCACGAGACACCATGGAGAGCAAGTCGAAGATATTTGGTAAAATGTCATAGAGAACAGACATTATAAACAAGCACCTGCCCTAGCAACTACACACAGTGACAACATGATCCTTCTCCTACCTTCTCACAGGGAAGGATATTGAATGGCTTCCTTGCGTCAAAAAAGCGATGTCAGAAAGAACCACTAACGTCCAAATTCTGATAGATCCTTGATTACGAGTCCACTGTGAATACAACGAAAGTATAAGCAGGAAGATGTCGCGGTGCTTCTGCTGAACGACGCAAATACAACGTAATGCTGGGGAATAAAGCAGTAGTACTGTATGGTAAAATGGTCCAATGGGTGAATGATTTATCCCAAGAATATCCTGAACGTGATGGGTCTTAGATGGCTGAGACCATTGTCAGGTTATCAGCTCAGGGAGATATAAAAGCAATTAGCAAGTGGGGGGCAGAAGCGTGAATTTGGTAAAACTTGATAATATTGTCAGTGAAAGAGCATATATCGACCAAAGAGACCTGCACTCACAATAACCAGCCAGCAATCACTTTCGGCGTTGTTGTTGCCACACTGCTAGGGGGACGTCTTCTTCCTCGCCCCGCTCTGTGCGGGGCGGAAGTGGAGGTTCTGGATGTGCTCTTGGTCTTCTGTTGTGTGGCAGTTGTCATAACGGCATGAGCACTGGTCACCTTCCTGGTCTTTACTTCAGCGGGGAGGGCCGGAGGAGTGGCACCCGTAGTCGCAGTGGCAGATAATGAGCGTGTTGTGGCCCGTGTGGCTTGGACACGGCTAGTGGCGGCGGGTGACGCATTCGCAGAGTATCTGTTATGATTTTGAGCTGGTGGAGACCGCGAACGGCGCGCAGGAGCTTGCTGAGAAGTATTACTTGGAGCATGATTAGGAGGGGGCGATGGAGTCAATCGCGTACGCGACAAGGGCGGAGCTCCAGAAGTGGATGACGAAGCCCATGACTCAGTAGGCTGCATGGTGTCAGGTGGAAACTGTTGTTGATCCGCCGCCCCAGGCCCCGAGTACCCGGGATACATGTAATTTGTCGATTGTGGCTGGACAACCTGAGGTGCATGCACTGGTGGACTTGATTGTCGCTGCATCCTTTGTGGACCGCCACCAAGTGGTGTCGGAGATGAGGAACCATATCCGTAGCTGGATCCATTGTACTGCTGTTCCATTTCTCTGTGCTGCATCTCGTATTGAGGACTCTTGATTGGCATTTCAGCAACCCTTCGAGCTCCTTGCGATCCGCTGGGGGGCTTTGTAAGAGCGCCTCTCCTTTGAGATTCCTTTTTCTGTGGTTGCTGCTGAAGTTGAAGTTCTCTTTCGCGCTCAATCTCCCTCTCCCTCTCAAGCCGCTCATTCTCAACCTTCTGCCTCTCTTCCGCTTCTCGACGTTCACTCTCCCTCTCTACCTGTTCATGGTCAGGATTGGACGCGGTTGGGGCGGTAGCAGCTGGCTGATTTTGTGCTACAGGAGTAGCTGCGGGGTTCTGCGTCTTGTTGATGACACCGAGATACCAGAACATCAGATTGCTGATGAGAACCTGCTCATACAGCGGCCTTCGAGGATTTGCCAGCTTGATATGGCTTAGTCTATAGATCGCGCGCTCCACGTGGATGGGATATCGAGCATACGTGCCCTGCCCGCCGGGCAGCTGTGGCGATGGCGAGGGAACATACTGTTTTGAGGATTTTGACTGGCCAAGCAAAGCAGTAGCAGCCTCTCGCCCAGACCCGTATGAATGCAGTTGAGATGCTTGCTCGTCGGCCTTTTTCTTGCTGCTGAACAAGGAACCGAAGAACCCGCCTTCCTTCTCCTTTTCCACTCGCTGCACTTCCTTCTCGCGTTCCCTATCCTTGCCGTTCTTCTTCCCGCCTTTGTCGCTGCCCCATTTGAACAGTCCCTTGCGGTCCTTCTCCTTCTTCGGCACAGGGCTTGGGGTCTTCTGGGGAAGGCCGGATGCCGCTATAGCTTCGGTAGATGATGCTAAGGTAGATGCATCGGGGGACGGCGTTCGAGACGACTCTTCAGAAGGGGTGGTCAGAGTAAGTCTCTGGGGTTGAGGGTGATGCAAAACTATCGCATTGGTAGAAGCGTCCAGGCTAGGTTCGGTTTGGGTCGGTGGAGGCTTGTCATGTGCTGGGGAAAATGATAATGATGGGGGGTCGGAGTTTAGCGATGAGGTTGAAGGGGCTTCACCATCAGGTACATCACAGAGGTATGCTTCGAGGATGAGTGTTTCATCTATGAGCACGTCAGTTTGCGAAGTATGGCCATCACTTGTCATGCTTTCGTTAGAAAGTGCACGAGGTCGTCTACCTGTTTCTGTGACATCGCCATGATCACTTGACGAGACGTGATCACTGGAAGACAGATCACTGGAGGTACGTGGTTCTCCCTGTGTGGCAGCACGAGGCCTGCGCCCGGACCCAAACCGATGGCCACCACCATCACCAGGCAAGGTGGTCTTCCGGATCTTAGTGCGCGCAGCTCGACGGAGAATTAGACCGGGAGGAGGAACGATGATAGGTGCATCGGCCTCATCTGGCATGTCAGGAATATCGTCCATCCTATCCATGGCTGAAGACAAGGACCTTGAGCAGATGCTAGGGACGACCGGAAGTTATTCTGCATACTGACCTGAAGGAGACACATTGAGACTTAAACTTCGCCTGAGCACGTTCCTAAGTTTTGTAGGATCGTCACTCTTTGAGGCCTCTTCTGCAAGTGTTTCTAGTCTTTGTAAGTCGCTGATAGTAAGCTGTGGCGCATTTGCGAGAGGTGTGCGATTTGGGCGAGAAGGGACAATCTTCTCATCCTCGTCCTCGGCCTGGTCATTCTCTGATGGTTTGTACTGCCTGCTGAGCATTGAACGTTTGCGTCCCAAACCTGTGGAAGGGATGCTCAAAGAATTTGATCGAAGAGGCCCAGCGGCGCCATCTGGGGGTGGAGTGCGTGCGTGTTCCTTGAGAAAAGCGCTAAACTGGCCCGGATCGATTTCGGGATGAAGACGAGCTGGCACCCAGAAAAGATGAAAAGGATCATCTAAGCCCGAGCTTCGCTCCTCTGAGCTAGAGCTGCTTTCGTGAGAGCCGCTGCTGGAGTCACCATCTGGTAACTGCTGGGGCGCAGTGGCAGTCCAGTAGTTGGATGTTGGTGAAGTTGGAGACGATGGGTTCGGAAGATCAGGATCAAGAATGAGAGCACCTGGACCGCCTTGTGCTGTAGAACGCCGCTTTATGTCTCGCAAAGCCTCGACCTCGCGCTGAATCTCCAACTGTGAAGGCTGCATGCTTGGGAGAAGCGGGCGTCAAGAAAAAGAGTGTCAGCAAGATCGCGCGGTCGTCGTGAACAGTGCTTGGAGGAGGTTGATGATGAAGGCCACTAATAGGAAAAGTGGCCGAAGTTGCCTTGCGGTGGTATAAATTTAACGCTTGCCAAAGCTCCCCGTTTCTTGATTAACTGAACTGGCGCGGCAGCAACGGCATGTCATCAAACTGAGTTCAAACTGGCTCAAACGTGTTCTTACAAGTCTACAAGATAGTTACATTCAGAACAAGTCAAGTTACATATCAAGCCTGATGTCTGCTAGAAGGGGCGAGCTCAGTAGGTGTAGTATGTGGCACAACTGCTCTGGACTCTGCTTGAACGACCACGATAAAAAAAGACGTGGCATTACATGCACTCGGACCCGACGGCCGTCGAGCGTATGAGAACTTTGCATGTTATACTACTATCAATTCAACGCACATCAGAGTGTGCGTTCTGTGCAGCAGCGGCTTCACGCCGCAGCTCCTGAATGACAGTCTGCGTAGGCAATTGTTAGTCCCAAACTTGTTATTAGACCACTCGGACATCAGCATACTGCAAGGGCTTCTGGGTTGACACCACTCTCGATCATACCCACACACGTCGCGAGCGTCTCCTTATCAAGCTGTGTATTAAGCAGCTGCGAGATCTCATAGAGGGCTGTGAATCCGCATTTATGAGGGTGCAATACGGCGCATGTGCAACTTCGATAACACACTGTCAAGGGTCTGCTGAGCAGCACTAATTCTGTCTGCCTCTTTAGACGACATGAGGTCAATGCCTGTTTGAAGAGCATTTAGATCTACCGCTATGACCAAATGAGAAATTTTGACTTACAGGCTCAAGCTAGCTTGAATTCGGTGGAGCACTTCGAAAGGACAGAAATCCCGGAAAGGAAATAAATATTATTATCTCAGAGAAAGTCCGATCGCAGCAACTTGCCTCCATGGCTCCCTCAAAAACACCCAGAAGCACCTCGAGGCCAAAGAAAGAAAAAGTCTTTCACCCAGACTCCCGCAAGGCCGGTCAACTGAGCCGGGTGCAGCTGCGAAAAACAAAACTCGCTGACGCAGCATCAAAGCGAACAAAGAAACACTCCGACCAGGGTGCGTATCCCATGCTGTATTGATGTCACGCATCTTCTCATGCGGTGGACCTCAGCCAATTTATACGGATTTTTCTACCATGCTATGCCTCCAGAAGGCACACTCTCCCTCGAAGATCTACATTTCATCATTAGTAATGTATGGTTAACACGCCATGATGACGAGCTTGAGCAGGAGAGAGATGCTCGCCGCAAGGGCCGACCGAAAAGTACCAAGGAGTTGAAGCTGGAGGAAATCAAGCTCCGTGAATCAGAACAATATCGCACAGGAATGGGTAAGATTGAGTATCATACTGCCTTGCCTTTGTTGATCCTATTGCGCAGATGTGCCTGATCTTACACATGAAGCTACCGTTCAGCTATTCCGCAAATGGGACCAGACGGAAGTTGCTTACATCCAACTCCTACGTTTCATCCGAATCAGCAGTGTAGATTCTACGTCTGCAGTCGTGTCAAAACAAGGGCAACACCATTCCCTCAAAAATTCAGTTCATCCGCAAGCAATCGATGAAGCCATGGTCACTGATCGTGACGACACGCTCCTAATTGAACCACTATCGCGGTTCGCAAGTACGATGATGACGATGGATGGTCCATTCTAATAGCCAAGGCACAAAATTTGAATACCAGTGTTGGCGGTATCTACCATAAAATAATTTTATGTCCTACAGATCGTGCAAGCTAATCGGCGTACATCAACCTCTCACTAAACTCGTATCCTCCCATCTCGGTTTCTGTGGGGCTGAAAAGTGGACTATTTGGTGTCATCGACATTCGTGGAATATCCAGCTCCCAGTTCCTTCTCAGCCTTTGATAAATCACCTGGAAGCTTGACGACGCACCCCTCTCCTGTATCAAGTATAGTACGACCTGATATCCAGCAGTGATTTGCACAGGCGTCGGTCTCTGCACTTCCACGCGGAACCGTACCGACTTCAGCGCTGGCAAATGTCCAAACGGATCCTTTGTCTCATCCATTCTGCACTTGAGTACGCCTGAATTTTCCGCATGCGTGAGGACCACGCGGACGCCCATGTTCACCAGCATTCGACGGCACTCTTCGCGTGACGTGAATCCGTCATACGTAGACAGAAGCTGGTACGTTACTGGCTTGAACCTGAAAACACTATCAAGCCAACGGCGCCGCGGCGTCGAGGGAAGAGTGAACGAGCTGTCAGAAAATGCGGGTGAGACAGCGGCTGGGGTGTCGCTCCCGCCCTTCTTGCGTAGCTTGTTCGGCGGTGGTTCAAGGATTTGCACGCGGAGCGCAGGCCGTCTGTCGCCATCGTTGCTCCGCAGAGACGACTTCTTGATGATTCCGGGTCCACTGACACCGAGAGATATATTTTCCTTGTCGACCTCTCCAAACTGACTTCGTCGTTCGCGCCTCATATCCGCGTCAGATATGATCTCCTGGGGCGATGAATAGTCTCTGGTTTGCACAGCATTGTCCCTCTGACGCTTGCCGAATTCCATGTTAACGGGAGTGGGTGGAGCTGAGGTGTTGCCAAGACTAAGACGGGGCGTGCCTGCAGTGCGCGCCTCCATTGCATTAAGATGTTCCACAATTTGCCGGAAGAAATGCTGCATCTTATCATCCTTGAGTTCTGGTACTTCAATCGCGGGCAAATTCGTAGAACCGAGCGTGGGTGATAAGGGCGATGTTAGAGATGTGATATATGACGACAAAGGAGAGCGGAGATCAACCCCTGGACGTGGAGGTGTCGGCGAAGAAAGAGTTATACGAGGAGCGCTTAGTTGTACGTAGTCGCTATCGTCACTATGCAGAGGGAGCGTGCGACCAGCTGCCCTACGCGGGGTCGGAGGACCTGCGCGAGGAGGCAGAAATGAAGGCGCGCGTGCCAGGTGGGGTGTTTGGGATGTGGTCCTGGTCATGCCCTGAGGGTCATTCGTGGTTGATTTCTTCTTGCGTGTCTTTCTGTGCACCATCTCCTCTTCCTCGTCGTAATTTTCCAAGTGTTTGTCCCGATAATCGGTGAGCAGTCGGTAAACGCCTTTCTGCCAGTTTGGCTCGGAGCTCTTGAGGCTAGATTTGATGTCCTCCTCCGATGTACCGTGCCAAAGTGTGCGGAGGTTCGCGAGGATGTCTTGATCAATGTCTTCAAGATCAGAGAGAGGTCTTGCTATATCAGTGAGCCTTGGCGTGCTTGCGTCGACAGACTTTGGCTTTTGGGAAAGGTAGAACGGGTGAATGAGAATCTCAGGGATCGTGATACGCGTCACAACGTCCTTCTGCAGCATCTTCGTGATAAGATCCTTGGCCAAGAGATCAATGCCGGCTGGCATATCGAACTTTCCTGACTTGACTTTATCCAGCAGTGTTGGTAGGTCCTCGTCATCGAACGGAAGGCGACCCACAAGCAAGGCAAATAGAATCACGCCACAAGACCAGATATCAGAAGCGCGTCCATTGTACTCCTTTCCCATGATGACCTCCGGGGCCGCATAATGAGGGCTTCCACATGCCGTCTGGAGTAATCCGTTTTTGGAGCTGGCCTGCCAAGCTGCCATACCAAAGTCTGCAACCTTGATATTCTTGTTTTGGTCCATGAGAAGGTTCTCGGGCTTTAGATCTCGATGAGCAATGTTGAGTCGATGGCAATAGTCGATTGCTGAGATGATTTGCTGGAAATAGCCCAATGCTTCAAAGGTGGATAACCGCCCCTTGTTGCACAAATAATCAAAGAGCTCGCCACCCTCCACGTACTCAAGAATAAGATAGAGCTCGCTGGAGGTCTCCCACACGTCGTAGAGGCGCATTATGTTTGGATGGTCGATGAGCTTCATTATCACGATTTCGCGCTCGATGCTGAGAAGCATATGCTCCGCGGAGTCGACGAGCTTGGTGATAGAGTTCATGAGAATATTTTTGGACACAATCTTTACTGCGGCATATTGTCCTGTTTTTGAATGTCGTGCGATCCTCACGCGGCCTATTTGGGATCAGTGAAAGCGCATAGTTTTGCAGCAACCCAGATAGATACCTGAGCTTCCCTTGCCAATAGTCCTGCCAACTTTCCATAGTCCAATCATCTTTGGGTCGTCTTCGCTACGATTCCGCCGCGGAAGCCTTGGATAGTCGTCGTCGTCCATAGTGGTTAATAAGGAAGAGTATCGGGAGGCTGACAGATGAAGTTGCCAGTGAGCGCCGCAGATTCTCAGAGCCGAGGGCAAAGAGTAGCCAAATAGAAACAAATAACACGCTCTCATCAGTTTGAGTCACGCGTTTTGACTTTCCTGCTGCGAACCTCCACCATCCCCTGACAGGCTGACACTACTAGACAAGTACTATTACAACCAAAGAACAACATCTGTCTTTTTTGATTTTCTAACATAATGATGCAGCCTACACCCGCACCGACATCGCCTCCGGGCTCACCAGAACCTGATTCATGAAGAAGAAATTACAGCCTACCCACCTCCCCCGCAAAACAATGGCAATGCTCCCTTTTCAGTACTAGCTGGGCTATTTGAGAAATTATCCACAGAAAGAAAACCCGAACGAAGACGACGACTTTTGGATGTTTGGTTCAACGTATGTCTTTGTCTATACGAACAACACCAGTCTTGATGCTTGTGTGGCGTCAGCATTGGAGAGAAGAAATTGGACATGATCTTTATCCCGTTCTCCGCCTGATCCTTCCACAGGCACGTTTGCTGTCACTTTAAACAAATAATCCGGGTAAGCTGAACATGTGAGCAGAAAGACCGTGAGCGCGCTGTGTATGGCCTGAAGGAGAAGAACCTCGCCAAGACCTACATCAAACTGATCCCACTCGGCACAAGAGATCCAGATGCGATTCGCTTGCTCAACTGGAAGAAGCCCACCGAAAAAGATGTTTGTATATTGTATTCCGTGACTTGAACACATTCGTTGAGCTTTCCTTTAGAAAAGCTCTGGCGACTTCCCTACAGTTTTGTACGAGGTTGTGAGTAAGCGATCCTCCGTCGTCGAGGGAAGCCTGTCAGTCCATGATTTGAACGAAATCCTGGACGACTTGTCCAAGAACATGGGCAAGCAGTACGCACAATGATATTTGATATGCCGCTCTCTGGCTAACGACAGCGCACAGGGACATTCAGTCCAGGATTCTTCAGCGTATCTACAATCGTGCTACTGCTGAGGAACAGCGATGGATTGTACGCATAATTTTGAAAGGCATGTTGTTCTCTTCCATTATGGCTCCAATCATGTATCAACTTTCCAAGATATGGATTATTTCTGTAAAGGAAACCACTGTCTTTGGCGTGTTCCATCCAGATGCGCAAGATCTATTCAACATCTGTTCGGACCTCAAGAAGGTTGCTTGGGAGCTATGGGATCCTTCAAGGAGGTTGAATGCTGAGGTATAACTTTTCCTATTCGTTGAGGATTTCAGAGTTGATGTGACATAGGATAAATCCATTCAATTGTTCCGTGCATTTGCGCCGATGCTGTGCAAAAGACCGACCCATAAGATCGAGGATTCGGTGAAAGAAATGCAAGGACATAAATTCATCATCGAAGAGAAACTTGATGGCGAGCGCATGCAGCTGCACAAGCGCGGAAATGAATACTTTTACTGTTCGAGGTAGGTCTCCTCGCATGTACTAATGACTTGAGTTGACCCTTAATTTAGAAAAGGAAAAGATTACACTTACTTGTACGGACAGCATGTCGGGCAGGGCAGTTTGACTCCTTTTATCGACTCTGCGTTCGATGAACGGATCGACGAGTTGAGTTTATTTCGATATTTCCTTCGCTCGTAATTGAAGTTGTGTTACAGTATCATTCTCGATGGAGAAATGCTAGTCTGGGACCCCGTTTCTGAACGCAACTTGCCATTTGGTACCTTGAAGACAGCTGCACTTGGTTGGTATCTTCATTTTTTCATTTGTCTAAGCGCTTATGATACCTCTCAGACAAATCAAAGAAGGAGCACAATCCCAGACCATGCTGTATGCGCCGACGGTTCTAGATTTACAGCAATGCTCACTTCAATCTAGTTAAGGTTTTTGACCTCCTCTATCTCAATGGCATGTCCCTCCACCAGAAATCGCTCAAGTTCCGCAAACGCAACCTGCGCGCATGCATCAAAGAGATTCCAGGCCGCATTGAATTCACCGCGGAGTTCGAAGGCAAGACCGCCAAAGATGTTCGGCAGAAGATGGACGAAGTCATGGCATCAAGAGGGGAAGGCCTCGTGATCAAACATCCTGACTCCGAGTACATCTTAAACGGAAGAAACAAGGATTGGATCAAGGTTAAGCCGGAATATATGGTAAATCGGTCTAGGCACCCTGTCACATTTATGCTCACAGTACTTTCAGGACAATATGGGCGAGACCGTGGACGTGTTAGTAGTCGGTGAGTTTGTAAATTTACTGTGTTTACTTAGCATACAACTTCAATGTAGCCGGCAATTACGGCACTAGAAAACGTTCAGGAGGTGTCTCGACACTCATCTGCGCCGTCCTCGACGACCGACGCCCGGAAGTTGACGAAGAACCGAAGTAAGTCTCGCAATGGATGCAACGTCTGATGTATAAATATTCCTGGACACTAGGTACAGTACCTTCGTCAGAGTGGGCACGGGCTTGTCATTTGCAGACTATATCTGGCTCAGACAAAAGCCTTGGAAAGTATGGGATCCAAAACATCCGCCAGAATTTCTACAAACTGCAAAAAAGACATACGAAGACAAAGGCGACTTGTATCTGGAACCAGAGGAGTATGACCCACATTTTACCTGCTGGCACAGGCTGACGATATCATTGTCAGTTCGTTCATACTGAAGGTTAAGGCAGCTGAAATCACGACTTCAGGTATCAGGCAATGATTTGAAATGCGTTGTCCCGCTGATGTGTCACTTGAAATAGATCAATATCATTTGGGCGTTACAATGAGGTTTCCTCGAGCTCTGTCGATTCGCGACGACCTGTCCATTGCAGATTGCATGACTGCATCAGGTGCGTGCCTTTGTATTCCATCGGTACGAAGTCTGACCTGTTTTAGCTGTTCTGGAGAGCATGCGTTCCGAGCGTAAAAGAAAGATGGAAAGTGATGCTGGGTGAGTGTTCATTGGTTTTCTCGCCAATACTCAGGTTAATTCTTTGTAGCATGTCCAAGAAGAAGCGAAAGATGACGGCAAAGAAGGCAAGCGTGGTTAGCGTCTTTCGTGCTATTGTTGTCTGAGCATCTCTCAGGCAACTGTCCTACCACAATATCAAGGACCTGATCTACGTGGAGTCGAGATTGAGTCAGACCTTTTTGAGGATATGAAATTCAGTGAGTCTTGCTTACTGCCTGGTGTTCGATTAACGGTGACCTTGATTGTAAGTGGTATCGTCAGACCCAAAATCACGAACAGGCAACCAAGACCGTCAGGAACTGATGAAGTTGTAAGACAGGATCATCTCTGAAAATCTTCTAGATCTGAGTTCGCCACAGGATCCATGCCAATGGGGGTAGCTGCGTGCAGGTCGTTACATCCAAACAGCCTATTACAGTCATTTATGGAGGAACGACTACGCGTCAGTACCTATGCATATCTTTTAACTACTCCGGGGTACTGATCGCAATCTCGCAGCTTACGACATTAAGCTATTGATTGACAAGGACAGTGTTGACATCATCAGGCCTCAGTGGATCACGGATTGTATACACCGGGGAGAACTCGTCCCTCTCAAAAAGAAGTAGGTGTCATAATATTCTTTGTCTCTACATAGGATCACACTTGTTTTAGGTACTTCTTTCACGCAACCCTAGCACGTCAAGAATCCGACGATTATCATCAGCTGGACACTGACGAGGACCAGGAAATGACTGATGGAACTGTAGAGGAAGACGCGAGCCTGAAAATTCCAATCACCCCAGAAGGCTTCGAGCCGAAACTCGAAGAAACTAAGGACATTGATCCTGAACTCATGGACTGGTTTCAGGTTGACGCCAAGTCTGCCGTTCCAGAAGACAGCGAAACAGAGGAAGAGTCTGACTGCGGATTCGAACAACGATGATGTCAAAGAGGAAGATGTTGATGATGAGTGGTTCCAAGTGCCCCGCAGTCCCGCTGTTAAGCCCTTTGATGACAACGTGCGTGATTTGATTGATGGCGTAACCATTATTCATTAATTATTTCGACAGTCGCATACCACGCTTCATTCACAGTCACAGGTAAGGGTTCCTTCATTCATGTGTCCTCTTGCTACAATTGTATCAGAACACGACAATGGGGGAAGACCACCAAGCGAGGGAGTACTGATACAACAGCAATATTCAGGCATCTGTAGGTCTCGTGTCTTCCAGGCTATCGGCTCTCACCGTCGGTGGTAGTTGCTTTTACCTTGACACGCCAAGCAATGCGCAGAGAAACGGGATGCCGGTGAAAACCAAGTATGAACAAGAGATCTGCACCACGTGAGCTTTCCTTTCAGTGCGGTGCCGAATATTTCCCTGATATCAAACTCAATATCTTAAGCTTCGACCAGGTTTCAAGAAGCATTCTGGAGAATGGTGGAAAGATAGTTGCACTCGACGATCCAAAGCTCACGCATATTGTTTTGGACAAGCGAGATGACTCGCGTCGACTGACGCTCATGCAGCGTACCTCGAGGTAAGTGCTCATATACAACCTTGTCATACACGACTGAGGCAAATATTAGACCTAAACGACGCCGATTGGTGATATCCGATTACGTGACAGCTTGTTTAGAAGAAGAATCGTTGCTTGACGAGGAAGGTGAGAAGTCTTGGTCACTATCAGTCTTCCATACTGAGGTTGTTGCTCCTAGATTTTGCTCCGTAGATGGTAGTGCTTATCACTCCTATGTTGCATTTCCTTAGCTGTACACTTCTTATTAATGCGTGTTTCCTCAAAATTTTATTGGGGTCGCATTTTTCATCCTACGCGTTATCCTCGTGCGTTTAAGCACTGTGAATGAAACAGACAGGTGCACATGTAACTGGCCGTTACTGGCGTTAGGGCGTCGATGTTGGCTGTGGGATTTGGGAGTGGCGCCGCGTGCGAACTGCTTCGAGCCAGTAGCATTCCCTCATCTCCAAGCCAATCATGCTCTGATGTGGCGGAGAATAAGATAATGTCTCTCGTTCATCATGGGAGCACGACGCACGCGCGCACACATTAGATATGATTGAAAAGGTCAACAAAATTCATCATCGGTCATCGTAACCAGTAGCTAGTAGCTTTCCTTCAGCGAAGAAGCTTCGGCTGCTAATCTCGCATGATTGCGGTAGTGAAGTAGACCAACTACTATTAGGTAGAAGGTTCGTGTCCAGATTCCAGTCACGTACTGTTCGCTTTGCCACAGACCCCTCCGAGTTCACCGGTCATTGCCAGGGACCCTGGCAAGACTGGGGCGCAGGCCGTGCAGCATATAGCGCAGTATTGCCAACAAACTACCTGGCAGGCTGATTAGGGGTATATGCTATCTCAACTACATTGCACAAATAACGGCAAAACCCGTTATCGATCCGATTCATCATTCGATTGTGTTTCTCCATGTGGACTTTGCTCACAAAAACAAATGATATTAATTGCTGGCACCATTTGTTTTATTTAAAACCGTTGGTTCCGTTCATCAAGGACTGGACTGCTTTATTCAATAACATATTAGAATCTCCGATTTCATTCGAAATTTCACTCGCATCAAATGTGCATAATTCAGGTCAAGTAAGTACATGACAAATCCACCTCAGACAATACCGACTAGGGAGTTCATATGTGAGCGACTTCCTTGAAGTTACAACTTGCAGAACCGTGTCCTAGGACCTCCTCTCAGTCCATATATGACCATGAGGAACATGTCTGCCGGCCGTGGAACGAGGCCGAACCGATGCGCTCCCCGTACACCAATGATGACCTATGTAGCTATCTTTCATAGGCAGAAGGACAATGCCATGAGGGCAGTCGTCGCCACACACATGTGGCGCTATTAGGGTTCTAACATTAATTGAATCATGGGTCATTCAATATTCAACGCCGGTGACCGCGCCCAGTTATAAAGGCGCAGAAATTAATTATAGCAACACTGAAATACGAAAATACACTGGCTGCATGCAGTTCATCCTGCAAACATAATGTCCCCCAAGAAGCGAAAATGATTACGATGTCGTCTACTATATTTAGGGGAGGGGTGTTGCTGGGTAGAGGAGAGTTGTAATACTAGCTGCTTCTTGACGGGAAAGGTTACCCGCAGCCCCCAACTGTGAAGGTGTCAAAGAGTAGAAGATCGGACACAACTCATCCCAGTCCTCTGTAAAGAAGTTCAGCTATGAAAGTACTGTCTTCAAATATGACCTACGTGGTACGGGGTCCACATGGGCAGCAGTGTCTGAGGGACTTTCTGCCATTACCACGGCAAAACCGCTGGATGCAAAGAATCAGTCATTTCTTTCATGAGGACATCAACAAACATACGCATCAAGGTGCCAGTCGACGTGGCTTTTGGTCCAGAGTCAGTACCGTTCTGGGTGGCTGGAGAAAAATAATGTCGTACCAATGCAAGAACCACGGACCAGAATTATCGGTCGTCCATCGTATCACCATTTGTTCACCAGGGAAGCCACCGTTTACCACATCGCGGCGAACTGGGTTCACATAATTGAAGGTACTGAAACCTGCGCTCTGTACGACATCGAAGGAGTGCTAATGATCATCATCAGTACCAATCAAACATGTCATCGAAGTCAAGGTAAACTTACCCCATGAAGGTGTATGGGATGCTGGTACAATATAGCTCAGACACACAAAGATCAAAGGAAAGGAAAAGACGCACGGGTCCACCTGGACTGGTTATTATTGACATGGTCAACTCCACCACTTTATTAGCTTCTAGAACGATTATACTCCCATTTGGGAGCAGCTGAGACGGTTCTTGAGCTCCACTGAGAATTTGGAGTAGAACAGGAATGTTGGGGGTTTGAATG